CCCCCCCGTCGGCACAGCTTAGGCCTGGGGACTGAGCCCCTGAGGGCGTACAGTAAATGCTGCCTCAGGAGCTGACGGTCGTGAGTGGGCCCAAGCTCACCGGAAGCAGTAATTGGTGTCCAGGGCCCGCTTCTTCCTCTGCCCGCCCTGGCTTGGGTTGTCCAGCCGGTGAGGGGGAATCATCATGAGGATGAGGTGAGGGTTGTGGTGGTCCTTCTGCTTCTTGAGGCGCCCTAGATCTCCACGGCCATGATCATCCTCACTGTCCACACCTGCAGAGGGGAAGGAGGAGGACAATCTCCTGTCTAAGGAGGGCAGGGTGGAGGCTGGCTTCCTGTGGCACCCCGTCACGGCCCTGCAAGGGCAAGGCGTCATGCTCATGTCAGGCTGCAGGAAGGGGAAGGAGAAGACCAGGGAGAGGAACGCACAAGACACCTGTGGTCAGATCCCCTCATGACTCTGGCGTCTAAGTCGCCCAGAGAGCAGAGAGCCCTTCCCAGATGCTTCCTGGGATCTCGGGGCCGAGAAGCTTCCGCGAAACACCCCAGGCAGCTGGCTAACACATTGCTTTGGGCTGACCGTTTAGATTCCCAGACTTAAAATTTTGGGGTGTGAGTTTCCTCATATGCTCTGAATTGGTCAAGACAGCACCGAAGTCCTCCCTATAACGTAAGGTGTCTCGGTTTAAGATCCCTTTAATGGGAGCCGGAGGAGCTAGACTGCTTGCTTAATCATTAATGGGCACATGCGCGAGCAGTTTCAAGGTGTTTCCACTGTAACACTCAGATAAGATACCAAGGAATGTGATCCACAGATTTAGCACACAAACTCTGCGGCTGGCGGGGAGACCCTGCTATTTCATCTGGAAAGGACCACTGAGGACTGAATTAGACCGAGTCTCAACTAAAGGAGATCTATTTTGTGACAGGCAATCGCCTGCTGTTGTCCATCTCCACCAAGGACAGGAACACGAGGAGCTTAATTTACACAGTGACGGAAGGGACTTGGACCCCATGAAGGCACACTAGGACCGTCAGACAAATGGGAGGCTTGGATCTAAAATTCCCTTTTCTGAGAATCTTTATGAACAAGATTTACAGAGAGGGAGGATTTCGTCCTGACCTTGCCTGTAGGTAAGGACCCCAAATGTCTTCTGAGCTCTGAGGTTCTGTGATTAGGATGTCAAATGCTTGGCTTTAAAAATAAAAGGGGGGGCCTGAAATCAGGCCCACGAAGGGTAAGAGGTCTGCCCAGGGCTGGCAGCCAAGAGAGGGTGCACCTCTTCCCGGACAAGCCTCTGACCTCACGCTCTGGCGTGCTTGGTTTGATCTTGAGGAACCACCTGGCTTTGGGTGTGCCTCAGTTATCCAAAATGCGACTATTCAAGGAAAGAGAACATCCCTGAAATCCAGAGACTGTCCAGAGATTGAGCACCTTAGAAACAGACTGGAAAACCAGAAAAGACTCTCAACTATTTCTCCATCTTATACAAAAACCCTGAGCCCCAAAGCAGTCATTCAAACCCAGATGACTCCTGGGTGGGGATCCCGTGGCCTCTGTAACATCTGGAAAGTTAAGGAGTCAGGACACTTGTATTCCTGGTCACCGCAGGTCCTTTTTTTGTAGGGCAAGGGAAGACACCGACTATTTGTTGAGCATTTGTGGCACTGTGTTTTACATTTGTTATCTCATTTAATTTGCATGATAACCCTACGAAAGAGGTATTCTCATCTCTGTTTTAGTGACTGAGCTCAGAGAGGTGGACCCGTTGGCCTCCATGATGCACCACTCCTCCCAAGGTTACACTGTCTTCCAGATGTTAACACACTCAATCTATCAACTGAAAGTCCCAAGCCTTGCCTGTAGAGCAAAGCAGAATTACTCGAGTATAAAATAGTTGGCCATCTCCGTGAGGGAGTTTGGTTGCTTTTCTTGGGGCCTGGTTGGGGTCTCCTGTTCTATCCTACCTCACCAACCGCCCTCCACCTACTATACACCATCCATTTTGTTACCTTTGAATTTGATTTCCATCACCTCATGAATGTTTTCCAGGATGTCTCCATTGGGCTGAAAGGTGTGACATGGACAGTGAATGCTGATTTCCAGACCTAAGTTGGACTCTGCAAAATAAGACACGGAATCAGTGAGAACATTCTTTATGTGATGGGGAAGTGTGTCCAGCCTTTCTGCCAGGGCCATGATTGTGGGTGTAAATGGAGTGGTAGTTTCCAGAGGACAGAAAATGAAAATCACAGTTACCTTTGGCCATATTTTCCTTAAGAGATAAGGACAGAATGAGGTCAGAGTTACTTGGAAGTTTCTTCTCTGGGAATCCCTGTCCAGTTAATGGGGGAGCTAGAGATGTGGATGGCTCACTGGGGGAAAACGAGCTGCTCAGGAAGACCATTGTGAAATCAGAGCACAGGCCGGAGGAGATGGCCAAGGGCCAAGGGCCCAGATGACACAAGCTCGGAGAGAACCAGCAGGAGGAAATGTGGAGATGCCAGGGTTTGCTGACAGATTCTCTGGTGCAAGAAGGCCAGCTGGGGCCCTTTCTCCTATTGGTGGTTTGCATTTTACTAAAATTGGGGAAGCAAGGAAATTAGTAAAACGGGTTGAGTAAAGTGGAAGGAGAAAAGGAGGAATAAGAACAGACACATTGGAACTGAATCCAGAAGTTTTGTGCAGGGAAACTAGGAAGGGTCTGGTATCATGTCAATTCTGGTGGGTCAGACTCAGCTAGGGAAGCTCTGGTGACCCAGAGGCAGCAGCAAGCTGCGCTGTGGGAAAGGTCATGAGGAAAGGACCCTTCTGGCTTCAGGATCAGCATCTCAGCAAGCTGATTGATTTACTGTGCCCGGGGCCGCCCTCGTTCTGTGTGAGCGTCCAGCCCTGGGACCAACCTGAGGTCATCTTGAAATCTGGTGTCATCAGGGAAAATCCCAGAGTCCAAGCTAGCTCAGCACCCTTCTCATGCACAGAATGACTCAAGCCCAGGGGTTCTGGTCACCATTAGGCAGGCCAGGATCCCTTCTTCCATAAACTCCAGAACCCAGTCTCATCTGTCCTCTTCCAAACCAGGGCAGCCTCTAGGACACACTGATACTTGCTGAGCTTGAAGATTTCAGTTCCAGAAGGTTAGCTTTGGTGGGGAGGGAGGGGGCTATGATAACAAGGAAGCTGATGCCCAGCCAGAGAACAAGAAGTAAAAAGAGATGGAGTCACAGGAGTGTCTCCTTCCTGGTTGAAGGCCATGGAAGGAATGAACCGGGGTGGCTGAAATGGGCTGCAGAGTGTACTTCCAATTACCCAGAAGGGCTCAAGGGAGGCCAAGAGAGACCTGGTGTGGACAAGTTCTGTGATTCGGTGAGTTAGAAAGTCAAGGTGCAAGGGCAGCTGGGTGGCTCAGTCGGTTGAGTGTCTGACTCTTGGTGTTGGTTCAGGTCCTGATCTCATGGGCTGTGAGATCGAGCCCCACACAGGCTCCACACTCGGCAGGAATCTGCTTGAATATTCTCTCTCTGCTCCTTCCCCTGTGCATGCTCACGTGCGTGCGCTTTCTCTCTCTCTCTCTCTCCCCCTTTCCCTCTCTCTCTCTCTCAAATAAATAAATAAATCTCAAAAAAAAATAGAAAGTCAACGTACAGACACATGTGTTGGGGACAGTTAGGGTTAGGGGACAGGTGGTAGTGTAAGATGGTGGCCTGGCTTGGCCACCAGGCTCTGTGTAGGTAGAAGACTCAGAGTGATGGCAATAGTCACCAGCATTTGTTGAGCATTACATGTCAAGCGCCGCTCTAAGACTTTATGTGCAGTAACTCATTTAATGAGGCTTAGAGAATTAAATGGCTTACCCAAGGTACCCAGCCAGTAATTGGGGAGAGCCAAGATTCAAACACCTGATGCCTGGGCCACACCCTAACTGTTAGAGTCAAAGAGGGACAAAGAGGGGGCAACAGAGACCACCAGGGAAGGCGCCTGGGTTTTCCCAGTGTCCCCCCTCTCCTGTGCTATGATGCTGGCTGTGCTCCCTACCCGGGCCGCTAGGGGGTGTCTGACTCTGCACGGGGAGAAAGTGCAGACCATGAGGAGAAACAGCACAAGGGTATGAGGACCTGGGTCCCCTAACTCTGGGTAGGGCTCCAGACAGTTCTGGGACCCAGAAGGCAGGCTGGCAAGCTGGTGCACAGGAGGCTCTCAGACGTTTGCTGAATGAATACGAGACCAGACATGTGACTCGGTTTCCCCATCAGTCCACACCACCAACTGCACCATTTGGAGTCCATCTGCTGCCTAGTTCGGGGCCACGAACTCTGAGGAGACTCACAAGCTCTGCATAAGTAAAGGTCTGTGTGGGATTCCCCTGTGTGAGGGGTGGGAAGCATCTGCCTAACTAGGAACTGAAGGTTCCAATGAAGAACTAACCTCAGAATTGGCAGCAGTGGGGATGGTGGGTGGGGGACCCACAGGTTTTATTACGAAATTATCTTTTTGATGTCTCAAGGAAGATGGAAATCATTCTCAGTGCAAACTTCTCATTGAGCTCTGCAGCTGGGAAAATAAGAACTCCTTCAAGTGCCCAGGGCTTCAAAGAAATCCAGGTGGAGCTGATCAAAATCAGACAGAGAAGCTAAGAGATGAATTTCCCCAGCCTTTCCTTTCTGCAGCCATGTCAGGCTCTAGGCGGAGTGCTGTCTGAGTCAGAATTCCCAACTGTGCTGCCGAAGGCACATCCTGGTCCCGTGGGTGCTCCTAGGCTTTTGCCTTTGTGCTCAGTAGGGGAGATGGGACAGAATTCCCGGGTATCCCTGGAGTTGAGGCAGGACCTTCAGCCCATGATCAGCCGGCTCGGCCAGGATGAGGGCTTGCAGACTCGGATGCTTCCGGACCCCGGGCAGGTTACATAAGTGAGCAAAGCGAGCCAGCAGATCATGCTCAGTGGGGACTGCCAGCCTCACTCTTGGGGGAACAGCACGGACTGGAGGGCCTATGGGGACGTGAAGAATGCGTGCCCCACCTCAAGAGGTGGCCACTACTCATCTCCCATGGATCGTCACAGGGAAATCTTCCAATTTTTCTAGAAAATCCAGAAGTCCAGGTTTTATGTGAAATCTCCTGACTTGAAAAATAGAAACTGTTGACCATTACTTAAATTTAAAACATTATGTAGGCCAGGCCTTAGTGCTTTAACCCCAAAGCACGAGGACAAGTTTCCCAAAATATCAAGGACAAGAAAGGACCCACCTGCTCCAGGGACTCTGGACATCAGCATGTGGATGGACTGTGCCCCCACGGCAGCTGATGACAGAATAAAACTCTGGGCAAGACGGGCAGAAGGAACAGATGGGCCCACCACAGGCACTCCCTCCCCACCGAGCATCAGTCCGGGCAGTACCCCCAAGTAAAGAAGGGCAGGAACAGAGACAGACAACAAAACCCTGTCATCTCCACACCCATGGCTACCGCCGCAGCCCAAGCCCCCGCTGCTCTCATCCGGGCGGCTGCGATGGCCCCTAGCTGGTTTTCTGGCTCCTTCCTTTGACTTCATAGCAACCAGAGGGGTCTTTTTTTTTTTTTTTTAAGATTTTATTTATTTGAGAGAGAAAGAGAGCGCACAAGAGAGTATGAGTGGGGGCAGAGGGGAGGAGCAGAGGGAGGAGAAGAAGCAGCCACCCTGCTAAGCAGGGAGCCCAACATGGGGCTTGACCCAGGACCCCGGGATCATAACCTGAGCAGACAGATGCTCCACCAACTGAGCCACCTAGGCGCCCCCAGAGGGGCCTTTTAGAGATACAAACCAAATCACCTCACTCCATATCCCATCCCTGCTTATAACACTGCAGGGCTTCTCATCACACATGGAATAAGTCCTCGAACCTGACCATGGTCTTACAGGTCCCAAGTCATAAGGCCCCAGCTGCCTCTGGCGCCCGGCTCACTCCATTCCAGCCCATCAGCCAGCAGGCCGCTGTCGGATCAAACCATGCCTGCTGCCGCCTGGGGGCCTGCGCCTCCCCACCCCTCTGCCCCGCACATCCTTATTCTCACCTTCACACGCTGGCCCTTCTCATCCCTCGGACCTCAGTGCACACATTCCCTTGCACAGAGAGCCTCCCTGAGCACCGCGTGCCGGACCCCACCCGTCATTGCCATAGTGTCCTCTTTCGATGTCTTGTGGTACTCATCCCTGACGTTCCTACCCATCAGTATGTTCTCTTGGTTATTCTGTGTCTCTCCCATTGGAACGACAGCCCCATGGGAAACGGACCTCCCCGGTCTTGTTCACTGCTGTATCCCTCCCCCGAGCCTGGCTGAGGGAGCATTTCCATAAATATGGGTTGAGTGAATGAATGAAGGACACAGTGAGCCAGTGGCAAAGCTGAACCCAGATCTGTGACTCCTCTAGTTTTGTCCTGTTCCTTCTATTTCGTGAACGACCAAGGGACCTTGAGGTGCCTTCCAAAATGCTCAGACTAAGAGTCAACCTACCTCTTCGCAAGAGCCACTCACGCACAGTGTCAGTGACATCAAAGGACAGCCACTCGGCAGTGCCCCGTGTGGGCAGATTCTTGCCGCCGATATAGCGCTGTTTGGCAATGTGCTCATCAGGCCGGAGTATCTAGAGGGCAGAGAGAGGAGTAAGTACACCAGGCCGGAACAAGCCCCGCGGCCCAGGTCACAGTGCAGGAGGCCAGGTGAGGAGAGCAACGGGAAACTAAAAATTCCTGAAGGCTCCTGTGAGCCCCTTATTTAACGCTTCATCCTCTCCAGGACAGACACAGATGGAGAGAGTCCCAGAAGGTGGGATTCATGGCCAGGTCTGCTGATCTCTGCGGGAAGGGGAGGCCCAAAATGGTAGAGGAGCTGGCTCTCCCGTTTGTGTGGCTTCTGTTCCGGGAGCGGCTCACCTGGAAGAGCTCGATCCTCTGCTCACTGCGCTTGGAGCTAGGGTTGGGCACCCGCAAGACCCGGAATTCTGCTCGGAACAGGTTGGTTCCATTTTTCTCCACTGAGGACACGTTGAAGCGGAAAACCTTGGAGGTGATTCCTTTGGGGCAGACGGCCAGCTCATCTAGGAGATCAAGCAAGCGGGGAGAGGGGCAGTGTGAGTGAGACTCATAGGAGCCAATGTGCTGCCCACGGACACTCGCCAGGTGGCTAAGGTTCCATCTATGACCTCCCTAGAGGCTCGACAAGGCCTCAGGCCTAAAGGTGGGACACACAGGCCTGAGCCAGGAGCAGGGAGACCCGGGAGCCCCAGGACATGGCACCAATGACTGGCCAGTCAAAGACAATCACCCCTCCTCCCATGGCCTCAACATCCCAGCTCTGGCAGGCTCTCCAGCCTGCTTTCCTACTCTTTTAGAAAACATAGATGCTCAAAAGATCGCGGCAAGTCCCCCTAGTAGTTTAATCGTCTCACAGCTGTTTGACCCATTCATTCGTTCGTTCCTTCAGGCATTCATTCATTTATTACATGTGTATTGAGCACATACTGTGTGCTAAGCACAGTGCTGACAATGGGAAGCAAAAATGAAGAGCCGTGCCCCTGCCTTCAAGGAGATTCAGATCCAGGGAAGGATATCAATACAAAGACCCACATAATGGAACCAGCAGGAAAGTGCTGAGGGCCTTTGGAGAAGCCCAGGAGTTGCTGGGTCAGATCAGAGTAGGGAGACAGCGGGGAGCACGTGATGCGAAGAGATACCATTTGATCTGGGTCCTGCAGGAGGAAAGGGTTTGAGGATGGAGAGGGAGGGATTTTCCATGGAAGGACTGCTGGAAACACAGCAGGGAGGGGAGGAGGTGCATGTGTGTAAGACAACCTGAAGCAACCAGGTGAGGGGCCCGCAAGACAAGGTCAGGACAGCCGACTGGGGTCTCGCCACGGGGAGGCTGAAATGTTAGACCGAGAGGCTGGATTTTATCCCATCAGCAGTGGTAAGCCATGGAAAGTGTTAGAGCAGTGCAGTGACATAATTAACACTGTGTTTTAGACCCACTGAGGCAGCATCGGTATGGCAAAGAGCCCACATCTCAAGCCTGGCAGACCCACAGACGTTTCTTCAGACAGAGCGGAAGCCCTGGTGGCTCTTTTCTAAGGGTTTCTGTCCTTGACAGTACATGCTATACCAGCCACTGTCACTGTGCTGGCCTCTTCACCCCTGTCCACTGTCACCCTGCTGGCCTCTTCACCCCTGTCCACAAGACCCATGGCCGCAGATGCTCTTTGCCACATCTCAGTGCCCGAAGAGAAAAGAAAGCTCCTGTCTTTTTCTCCCGTACACTTCACAACCTCAAGGTCTGAGCAGCATTAACACCCAGAGAAAAACTTTCTACACAAATGGTAACAATAGCCAGAACTTGAAATTGAAGCTCGGAGACCCAGATTCCACACATAATGGACATGGCTGGAATGAGCTCATAATCACCCCGAGGGATGGTGTAGGAAGTCACGGACAAGGCGGGAAGGATCAGAGGCCTGGAAACAAGCAAATGCGCTACTGATCTTTAGGAAAGGATGAGTGAGTGTTTCTGGAAATTGCCATCTGGTGGGCCTGACACTGGTTCTTAGAAAATTAATGGAACAGATGTTAGGAAAACAAATGTGTGAATGCCGGCTAACGAAGCCCTGATTAATAACTGGCTTCAAAACACAAATACTGCCAACTATTCCCTAAACCGTGTCAGACAGAACCAGAAGGAGGCATCAGTGATAGCAATTTAATTGTTCAGCTTGCCAGTCTGGAAGCCGCTGGTCACGGATAAGCACGCGGACTGGCAACCCTCTCGAGCACCGACACGCTTGGTTCTTGAAGGAGCTGTCATCGATGTGGCTTCAGTTAGAACAGTCCCTCCAGTAACTGCTGAAAGAGGGAGTGGAGTGTGTCCATGTTGCTGTGGAAAGGAAAATGGAATGGAAAACGGCACGTGCCCGTAAGCAGAGTCAGAGGGGGGTCAGGACCGCGGGAGGCCAGGACATGGGGGCACTGAGGAGCTAAGATGGTCTTCAGGACACTCTTGTAACCATCCCTCTTTTGTTGCTCCCAGCCCATCAATCAGATATCTGTTCCCTCAGACGGACTCCTCTTGGTGGGAACTTCAAGGAGATTTCAAGAAGGAGGTGCGAAGGATCTTTTTAAAAACAAAAACAAAAACATTTTATTTATTTATTTATTTGAGAGAGAACGCACGAGCAGGGGGAGGGGCAGATGGAGAGAGAGAGAGACAGGGCGAGAATCCCAAGCAGACTCTGGGCTGAGTGTGGAGTCTGATGCAGGGCTCCATCTCAGGACCCTGAGATCACGACCTAAGCCAAAACCAAGGGTTGGATGCTCAACCGACTGAGCCACCTAGGCTCCCTGGGAAGTGTTATTTCTTTTTCTTTTTCTTTCTTTTTCTTTTTAATCACTGGGACCTACATAATTTCTAGCAGAGTTAGAAGGGACATTAGGGGTCATCTAGTGCAGCCCTCTTCAGATGAAGAAACCTATGTCCAGAGGGGTCTTGGCCGGGGCCACACATAGTTGATGCAAGCAAATTGACACTAACAAGTACAGCTCAAACATATAATCATTAGTGATGACAAGAGAACTGCCTAGGAGAGAAAAGGAAATGTAAATATAATCTTCTTGGCAATTAAATCCACGGAATAATGATGATGTTTTAAATAACTGGTGGAATGAGAGTGTAAATAAACAAACTGTAATAACACCACCTTACATTTCATGGAGCTTTTCCTAACTCATCTGACCCTCTAACAATCCTCGAGGAGAATGAGAAGAAGTCAAATTGACCATTTTACAAAGGAGAAAAGTGAGTGACTTCCCCAAGGTCATGCAACTAGTGGGTGGCAGAGGTGGTATTTGAACCCAGGTCTTCTGATCACCCCTCTCTTCTTAAAGTGGGGCCTCTGGAAGTTGGGGGGCCCTAAGAGATCAAATAGTGGAGGCAGAGGTTCACCGACAAAATGAAAGCTTCCATGGAGTGGGCCTACAGTACCACCATAGGCCCAAGCAACAGCCCATTCCCGCTCGGTTCTGTGGGTAGGCCATGCATCTGCAGGAAGCTAGTATTATTGAGAGCCGGACTAGAGGGTCCACCTTGAAAATTACATCAGGACCAACTTTTTCCACTATGCAAAAAATATATATATCGGTGGAGGCCATTTTCTCTTTTTTGCTATAGGGAGAGAAAAATAAGCAAAGCATATTCATGTAGAGTCTTCATGAAAAAATGTGGAAACGGCTGACTACGTTTCGACCATGCCTCTTAAAATGTTTTCAGCCTCCAGGGCTCCTAGAGGTGCTTTTGCTTATATCCATCCTTTCTGCCTGTAAAATCCTGCTGCTCCCAATGGCAGCACGCACACACCAGTGAGGAGCTGCTTCTTCACCCCGGCTGCACATTAGAATCACCTGGAGAAGCCTTAAAAACAGATGATTACCTTGGAGTGGGTGGGTCCAGAGCTTTCTCCCCCCTTTCTTTCTTTAAAGATCTCCAGATGATTCTAATGCGTAGCCGGGGTTGAGAACCAGTTTATAGTGCGCTGCAAGGGGTACCATGGCTTCCAGATGTTCTGGAAGTTTGAGAAACGACACTTCAGTGATTTAATCTTTAAATAGGTTGACCTTTAAAAGGTATTAGGCATGCAGTTTGGCCAACGCATCATTTAAAAAATTTTTGAATTAGAAGCCCATCAATATTTTAAGCCCAGGTTAAAAGGTGGGAAATTTCACAGAAAGAGCCAGGTTTTCTGCGCTTCTGGGAAATGGCAAGGTCTAGTGAAGCTGGACCCACATTCCTAAATGCGGAAATCAGCAGGAACTGAGCAGTGGGTGCCTTCTTTGACCAGGGTGTGGGAGCTTCCGGCTCCCCCCACCCCCCATCGGCCTCCCACATACCCTATTCTCTCCTCAACCCCAAGGCCAAGTGCCCCGTGCGCTTTGTCGTGGTGCTGGTGCTGAGGCTTTTCTTCCAGATCCTTTGCATTAGCTATCTAGTCTCTGTGGACACTTGTGTTTGCAGCCCCTTAAGGAAAGGTTTTGCCCTAGTACACTGAGTCGTAAGCTTCAGTGGGCTTAAGAAGCGGACCCCGCCTACAGATTCTGATTCTGTAAGGGTGAGGTTGGGCCTGGGAATCCACGTGTTTCCCACTCACATAGCCCCTGGACTGTTCTTGGAGAAACACTGACCTAGCGTGCAGAGGGCATTGGCACTGAGAACCAATGAGTTCTTGGGATACGAAAGGTCTTTTAATTTTCAGAATGAACACAATCTAAATGTAGCCTTCAGGAAAGAAAGGCCAACGTATCAAGTTTTCTCTTTGCTCAGGATCTCTGGGTTTGCTGGCTGTCTTCGCGCCAGCCTCGGATGAAAACAAGAGTCTCCCGCCAGCCATGGATAATGACCGGCCAGAAGTTAAAACGACACCCACACTGTTATCTTGATAACAAGGATGACAGAGGAATGGAGAAGGCTGTGGCTCTCCCCACCACGGTGTCAGAGAGAGGCCCTACCCAGCCAACTCCCGCTGAATTATAGAAGGATTTACAGAGGCTTGCCTTCCGTGCGGAGACTGTTGAATCATCCCAGATATATACACAAAACTGTTTCAGCTGCAAGAGCATTTGGAGATTATCTCTGACTTCACAGATGAGAAAACGACTCAGAGAGGTGACCTGTCCAATGCCACCTGGTGTGACTGCTTAACCAGCTTAAGGCTCTTCATTAGATAAAGAAGACCCTTTTGTTGAAGTTGGGAGAACATCTGCGGTGGTATGAATCTCCTGGCCAAAACAACAGGCAGAGCTAAGAAGGAACACACGCAGTTGGCCCTATGCGATCTGCCCCCCAGGGTTACTAATAGCCCCTACCCACCCCCCACCCCCACTTTGGTCCAATATGTGATTTATTCATATTGTAAGTCCAAGTCCTATTGCAGCCTTAAGGTTAAAGGTGGGGCCTAAAATATTTCTTTTACACACTGGCATTAGTGCCCAACAACATGCATTCTGCAGGCAGAATGTCTAGGTTAGAGTCCCCGCTCTTCGAGGCAAATCACTTCACTGATGCGTGTTTCCGGTTCCTCATCTGTAGGGTAGAGAATCGGGGTTCCTATCTAAGAGGGCGGAGCCAGAGGACGGGCCTCTCCTCTTTGCTCACCTTGGTGCCCTTTCCCCTGCCCCCCTGGAAATTACTCCTTGCCACATTTTGCTCTCCAGGCTCCCCTATCTCCCTGAGCCACCTCCTGCTGTCACTTCCCGCTAAGTGCCTGCCCACTGGGTACAGAAGCAGACTGGCAGGGACAAAATGTGGAAGGGAACGCGATCTCATCACTTCCCCAGAAGTTCTGGCCCCCAGACCCTGCCAGCGTCCCGCCACAGACCCAGTGCCCCTGCTGACCAGCCCTCACGAGCTCGGGACAGGCTTCCCTTACGCTAAGCCTCTGAGGCTGCCTTTCTGCTCCTGCTCAGCATCTGCCCACTGCCTCCTTTTAATTAGTGTGTCTTCTGCATCTGCCTCTCTGGGGCTGGCTCGGCACCTGACCAGCTGCAGGGCGGGCCCAAGCCATGCCTGCTCAGCCTCTGTGTCACCTCCAACAGCTGCAGAGAGTCTGGGCCTGCTTCCTGTTTGCACCTGCAAGCCTCCACGGCATCACCCATGTCCCACGGGGCCCTGGCTCCCCCCCAAGATCCCATACAGCATCTTGCTCCCTGGGCCAGACTTGCTCCCAGCCTGACCAGGCTCTGCGGCCCCAGGGCCACCCCCACCCGCCCCAGTTGCAAGGTGCTAGTGCTGCTGGCTAAGCTGCCAAGCATCCGTGTGCCCTTGCCCTGGCTTTCCCCAGGGCTGCCCGCTATTTGCGCCCTGAGTCTCTGTACAAAATCGATGTCCACTGGCACCTGAGGGTCCTTGCCTGCATCTGGCCCATTCATTCTCTTCTCGGGATTCCAGGCTGGACGGGCCCCTTGTGACGCAGAATCCCTCCTCCCTGGGACTCCACCTCCTGACCCGGATCATTGAGGTCCGAGCCCTTCTCCCTCACCCTGGGCTCTCTCCAGACCTCTCCGGCAGGCCTCAGCTGTCCATATTCGTGGCCACTGCGTCCTGACTTGGTGGTTGCCCAGGGGTTGGGGGGTTTCAGCCATCCTGGTGCTGGTGCCTCTGGGAACTGTAGGCCCCCAGCAGACCCTGAGCCAGCCCCACCTGGAGGACGCCAAGGAGGGCGCCTCGTGGCATACTCTACCAGCTCTGCCTCGTACTCCGGCTTCCGCCCCACACGGTAGCCACATCCTAAGGCAAGGCGCTCCAGGCAGCCACAGGAAACGGAGTGGGAACCCCTCGCCAGGAACCACAGGCTCCTGGATCTGGCCTGGGCCCGCTCCCAGTAGGGCCTTTTGCACCTTCAGCTAGAGCTGCTCCATCCACCCACCACCTCTTCCTTCTCTTCAGCCAGGTTCCTTTCAACCCCTGACCCCCTCACCCTGCCTGCTCCCTTCCACCCTCCCGCCCCTACTCCCCACGGCCAGGTGAGCCAGGGAAGAAGAGGTAGTTGGGGTGGCGAGGACACCTGCTGGTAGGAAAAGCAAACAGAGCTGCTCCCAGAGTCCCTGGCCCAGAGTGGCTCACATTCCTCCTTCTTGGGCTGTCAGTTTCTCAACATCTGCCAAATCTCTCTCTCTCTCTCTCTTTCTCTCGTATTGAGGTTTTTTAAATGTCCGTTCAGTAAACACACATGACTCCCACACGTGTACAAACACACAGACATCTCACCCAGAAGCCTCCCAGCTTCTCAGCACAGACGGGAGCCTCCTGGGAGGACACACTCCCAGACACATGTCCTCTCTGCACCCACAGCCACACCTCCCACCCACTCTTCCCGTGACACGCAGACACAGAAGGGCGGCCAGCAATCATCGACACGTCCAGAGCCACAACCCTGCTCTCCCCGTGTCCACAGGCCTGGAAGCCGCCCATTTTGAGCCCATGACTCTGTCTACTGTACAAAGCCTGAAAGCACATGTACGTGTGAACAGAGGTGCAACCGTGCTCACGGCTCACGTGGGTCACGTGTGTGGCCCTGACCGACGGGCCTGGACAGCAAGAGGCTGCCCCTTGCCTGGGCTTGGAAAAGCTTGACAGCCATGAATCTGGGGCAGGTATCCTCTTTTTCCCAAGAACTGGAAAAACTAAACCACAGACGTGTCGCAGTGAGTTGCGAAAACAGGGGAGAAGACCCAGGTCTCCAGACTCGTGAACCCAGAAGGGCTTTCAAGAGAGCTGGCCCTGGCCCTCCGTGGCACCCGTCCGCTCACAGTTACCTAGCCCGTCACACGTGCCAGCACACAGAGGTTAACAGGACAGCACAAGGTAATTCCAAAGTAAAACCAGTCCAGGTTGTGATGCGAGTTCAGCAAGCCACTCAACCCCAGGGCTCCCGGCCTCCCAGAAGCCAACCCCCCCACCCCCAGCTCTGTCTCCCTCCTCACCCACCCATCCGGGCCCCAACTGTGCCTCGCACCTCCTGAGCCTGGGTGTGGGTGAACCCAGGGCACCCCCCTCCCCCGGCTCAGAGGCCACCGCTCGGCCCGCGTCTGTGGGACTCCCTCCTGCAGTTCAGACCCTCTGGAGCAGACACCCCAGCGAGAATTTGGACTTACTGTGCTCCGCCAGCCCCTGGATCATGTCGAATTTATGGATTTCTTTGGCATAATACTCCGACTCGGTGTTTTCCTGAGTGCAGCTGTCCTCCCTCTCCCCCTGCATCTCCTCCAGCAGCTCCCGGGTGCTGTTGTAAAGGGCCAGGACCTGGTAGGGGACGTGGGTCATCACCGATGGCTCAGGGGGACTGGTGAGCCGGAGTTTGCTCAAGATCTGTCCCCTAATGGCTTCCACCCTCTTCTTCTTGATGTGGCCAAAGTCCAAGGTGGTGCAAGTGGACAGAGAGAGGCTGACCGTGGCAAAGTTCAGCAGGGCCAGGACCACCAGAGCCCTTTGCAAGTGCATCTTCATGCGCAAGCTGGGGAGAGCGGCTGGGGGGGGGGGCGCTGCTGCGAGGCCCGGCGAGGAGGAGACCCCAGCAGTCGTGCAGAAGGAGGGAGGAAAACCAGGCGGCCTCCCTAGATCCCGAAGACTGAGGCTTGGCAAGAAGGTGCATGAACTCACTGCACTGCGAGAGCTTCAGGACTTCCAGGAAGCACTGGCAACCCTGAGCGCGAAGACGCCGACTGTGTGCCTTGGAGCTCTGGGTCTCTTCTCCATGTGTCTAAACAGGTTCTGCGGGGCTCTGACTCCCAGCAGGCCAGGTGGAGGGCAAGCAGAGGGCTGGGAGGGGTGGCAAGGCAGCTGGGAGTGGGAAGGGAGCTGGAGTTTTTCCTTAGGTAAAAATAAATAGAGCGGATATCTGATATTGCCAAATGCCGCTTGGCAATGGGGAGAAAGTGGGTATTTTAAAGAAGGAGCAGGAGGACCATGGCTGGGTCCCAAAATCAAAATCCTTGCCTTGCCCTGAAGGAGGATAAGAAAAGAGAATGGAAAAGAAAAGGAGAAAAAAAAATGTTTAAAAAAAAGTCAGATAGCCAGTGAGTAGGTGGGGAGAGGCAGGGCTGGGCTGGACTGGCCCCGCTAAAGGTGGGGGCAGCGCAGGACACACTTGTCTCTCGGGCACACCATTCATGCTTTCTCTTTTGTTTACACTTCCTCGGGGGCTTTCTAAATGACTTTGTTCACGCTGCCTCTCGTCTTCATTGGCTGGGAAGTGGGGGTATGTGCAATTGGAAGGCAGGGAGGACAGGCCCCTGGAGAGCAGCCCCAATAATCCACTTGGACGCCCAAGGTCACCAGCACCTCGGCTTGTCTTCTCCCTCGGCCATTGCTTCTGTTCCCTGCTTCTCTTTACAAAAATAAAAAGGAGAAGAAAAAGAAAATAGCAGCCAGGTCCCTGCACGCCTGCTCCGGAAAGCTGTTATTCCTTCTTTCTCAGGCTTCTTCCCCTATCTCTCCCCTCTCTTGCTCATTCCCTTGGCCTTGGCTTTCTGCTTCCCTCCCTTCCTCTCCCTGCTGCTTCTCCCTCTCCTTCTCCCTCTCTCTCTCTCCCTCTCGCTCCTCTCCCTCTCCCTCTCTCACACACACATGCACACACACTGCTTTCTCTATTTCTCTCTGCTGAAATTTTATACCTCCCTCCCATGACGTCTCAGGCCCGGGTGGGGGAGGGAGGGACCAGCGCACGCAGCCTCTTTTGCTGCACGATTTTAATGTTTTAAACAGGCACAGGAAAAGCCGAGCCCATTTGAAAAATACTTTGCGAGTCCTCTGGTTCGACGTGGTAACTGAACTTTTTTTCCCCTCTTGGAGTCACTCCTGCTACACGTTGACTGTTTTTCTGGAAAGTTACTCCGACGAATCCCTTCCCTCCTTCTCCCCCAGCTCCTTCGCCCTCTCGCCAGCTGTCAGCCCGTCCTCTCTCCTCGGCCCGTCTCTCGCTCCTGCCACGGTCCCCTCACCACCGCCCCCCCCCACCCCC